TTTTACAAACATAGAACGTTTCTCAAATCCAAAATGAATACTTAATGACCAACATTAATACCATGAACCCCTTAATCACCGAAGATGGCACACAATCCAACCAGATGGGAGAGTAAGAAAGCTAGTCCAGTTGAGCTTATGTTGCACTTTTGAGGATCAATATATGAATGTGGCTTATTTTTGTTGTTTGCTTAAGTACGAGCTTTCACACAGTATTGACATGCACCTTTTCTTTTTTTTTCTTTCTTTTTTAGTAGTGCTGAAGATCAAATCCAGGGCCTCATGCATGCTATCTAAAAGCTCTACCACTGAGTTGCATCCAAGCTCCTGATATAAATCTTCATAATAGAAATGCACAAAAGAATATTTAAGGGACTGGGGTTGTGGCTCAGCAGTAGAGCACTTGCCTCGCACGCGTGAGGCACTGGGTTTCATCCTCAGCAACACGAAAAAATAAATAAACAAAATGAAGGTATTTTGAAAGAAAAATATTTGAAATATTGGTCAGCTAGAAAGAGTTTTATATTAGTATGAGATCAAAGCCAATATTAGATTGTTGTCTATTGGGAATAAGCTAAATTCTGTTGGAACATTCATGGAAACTGACAGTGGATTAACCAATACTTTAGAAAATCTCACCATAGCTCCTTTGTGTCAGGCACTATGGAGACCATGGGGCTGTGATGAGTAAGATAAAAATCTTTGCATGTAAAGAGCTCATATTTGGTTGACCTCAGAGAAGTTCTGGGAATATGAACATGAAGGGCGTCCCTAAGGGCACTATGACATGCTGCTGGTGTCCTGAACAACCCATGTCCCACATGCATACAAATGTCCTATTGACAACTGACATACATGATCTAAGTGAAAAACCTACTTGTCATTATCTGAGCCTAGATTGGAGCTCCATTTTATSTATACACAGAGTAGTTTTTACATAATCATTCTACGTATGGTACTTTCCAGGAATTTGTCTACATAAAATTTGAGAGATGATGGAACTTTGTGATGTTTAAAACTCTAACAAGATTTGTCCACCCTCTTAGAAAAAAATCGCAGCACCAAAGCCAACCCTGGTCCCACTGTTGAGCCACAGTGTGACACACAAGCCCAGCCTCCCTTCGTTGCGGTGTGTCTGGTGGCAATTCCACATAAAGATGACAGCAGATCATAACTTCTTTATGCCTTCTAGAGAAGCTTATTTTATTATAAATTACTTTTCTTTCATTACTCTTTTATAGTATAGTTATGCCAGGATATTGATTTTATAACAATTATATGTGGGAGCCAAATATATGTAGTCTGAATTTCATTTCAGGAGACAGGGAGGTTGTTACAAAAGATTTATTATACAAGCGCAGGGAAGGAGTCTGATAGAATTGAGAACTACYGTCCTGCAGGGTAAAGCAGACAAACACACTGATAATTTTGTCATCTTTGCTCCATCACAGTGACCTATGGGGCAGCCAGGCGTCATCAGGCAAGACCTTGAAAAATGCATACATCAATTTTTGTAAGATTACTCTTTCTCCTCAGTCTACTCCTCAGTTCTTTTTAATTTTGCTAGTTATTCATTTTTGATTACAAAAAAAAAAAAGAGTGCAGGCTAAAGAGAATGCTATTGGTTAATAAGATGCTTAAGAAAAGAATGCTTTTCACAGAAAACTCTCCTGCAAAGGGAGCACAGTCAGGGAGCTGAGGGTTCTTGAGAGAAAAACCCAGGAGGTGAGTTAGTGGATAGAAGAGCAAGAACCTTGGAGTGTGTTCAGTGTCCTTTTGGTGAACGTTGCCAGAGTTCTCCCTCTAGAACAAACTGGATAAAACATTTGACACAGAATGTTTTCTTTCTCCACCAATGATATCTGACAGCTGAGATTTTAGCCTAAAAAGTAAAATGAACAACCAGATCAAAATTAGGAACTGCCTTGAAGGTTGCTAGGTGACCAAGGCCAGGAAGGTTGCAGTAGAGGGGGATCAGCACTGTTTGGAGTGGAGTATGTCAGATTCTCCTAGAAACTGCATAGTATTCATTTTCTTTAAAAAAAAAAAACAAATGGCTAGGCAAATACACATACTCAGCCACTGGAGGAAGGGGAGGGAAACCAAAATAAACACAAACAAAAAGTCAAAAGCCCCAAAGGGCTTTATTCTAAAGTTAGATGGTCAGACCATCTTTATCCTTTAGGATAAAGGAAGATGGCCTGAAGAAAAATCATCTCTACACCTCCCACCCCTCCATCGAACTTCTAGTGTCCTTGGATTAATTCTGAGCTCAGCTTTAAATTCAGTGGGTGGTTCTGGCAGTACATGGTAGAAAGTTCCAGCCACCAGTTAAAACACAGGCCTAGACCAGTGTGTTCCTGGGACACCAAGTAATTCATGGGCAACCATAAAAGAAATACCATCGTGTTATTACTATCCCATCCTACAGAGCAGGTCTCTCCTAACTACACTCAAGCATTCAAGGAAAGCCCAGGATGATGCCCCTCCTTCCTTTCACTGCTTGCCAAACGAAATGTCCTCTGCTCTCACAAAAAGAATCTAGAATTCTGCTTTGACATACAATTTTGCCTCTTCTATGTGCTGGGTTCAGGATGCCCTGACTTCATCTCCAACAATGAAAATGTCGTACCCCTCTTTCCAGGTGATTCTCCCTCCTCTGAGTATCACCTGCATTATTTTCCTTTTTGTTTTACATATTCACTTGGTTCTAGGTCATCTTATAGTTAGCTGTGAACATAAAGTTAGAAGTTACTGTTAATATGGAGCAGGAACTCTGTGTGTTTTTGAATGCATGCATATCATTGTAACCCCTTTACATCTGCCTTCTCCRCTAGGCGCTGAGCTCTATGGGGGCAGCAGGGTGTCCATCCTGTTTTTCAATCTGTCCTGACCCCCTGGTGGCCTGCTGCTACAAGACCAAGTAGCTGTTTTACTTCTGATTCCTAGAATTACCTCTCTGTGTTTTCTTATAAAAGGGGATTCAGACTCTGTATGTGTAAATACAGAGTGTCCACTTCTAATTATTCATGAATTAAGTCAATCTCAGACACTAAAGAAAGGCAAAGTGAAATCCTTCCTATTTGAAGTATTTGCTGTGTTCAAAACACAAATTGTCTTCAGATAATGCTGTAGCACCTAAAATTGTGTTACCTGCATACCTCTCTGTCTCCCTATATAGACTACATACAAGTATTTCTGCTTGCTATTAAGAACATGTAGTACCATTTAGAAGAAATCTCCAAATTTAAAAGTTATTAACAATCTGTTTATTGTTAATAAATTCTTTGACAGAATAAAAAGGGTTAGAGAGAATAAAAATGCTCCCTCATTTACAGAAGGGTTATATATCCTAGCCAGAACCTGGAGTGATTAGTTGTGTATCCATACAATGGAACACTATWCMGTGATGAAAATGGACAAACTACTGTACTTCCAACACTTGTGATGAACTTCTCTACAGAACTTTGAGTGAAAGGAGCCAAAYGCAAAAACCACACAAAGTTTTTTTGTAATATTAAGTTCAAGAATAAGCACAATATACATATGTTGTTCAATTCAGAATATTGATTCTTGTGGCCACAAACATAGCAGTGACAGGGATGGGGACAGGAAACTTTTCAGGTAGTATTAGTAGTGTAGTTCTTGATCTGTGTGTCAGCTCACAACTGCTCAATTTGAAAATTTCATTAGCACTTATCAACTTGTGCAATTTTTTGTTTTATATTTATAAAGCTTCATTTTTGAAAAAGTTCTCTAGGGTATCTGTATTAGCATACATATATAATTTATCTATATTATATATAATGTTTAGATTATATATAATTGACATACATGAATTCCTGTCCAACTTTTCTTGAATGACTTTGTTATATGTACTTATTTGGGCCTGTCTAGCACAGGAACTAAGTAGAACACTACCTAGACTTCCATTCACACTTTGTGGGTTGGAGGTTGAAGTTTAAACATTTACTCTAACACATCCAAAACACAAATGTGGCTTATATACGAATTTTCCTAYCCTTGCATGAATGTCTGATTAGTAAATTAATATATTCAACACTCTTGCTGACATAAAGGAAATAGCTATTTGGTTATAAAATAACCTACATACAGATCTTAACTATGATCCATCAAAAACCCAACCTAAAATAAATTACAGAGAATCCTTTATTTTCCAAACAGCATTTAACATCGTTCTTAGCCTTATTTAGTAGTGCTGAACTTCAATTACTTAAATGTATTCTTGCATACACTTAACAACATTTTACCAGTATTTTCCACATTATATTGAAGTTGAGAACTGGAATAATCTTTTTTAACAATAAAGGTATTAAAATATTAAATGCCACAGTGAATGGTTGTGTGCTCGTGTGTGTGTGTGTGTGTGTGTGTGTGTGTGTGTGAGAGAGAGAGAGAGAGAGAGAGAGAGAGAGAGAGAGAGAGAGAGAGAGAGAATCTCTTCCCTGTTGCTAATGATTCGGAATTGACCACAACTCTTACAAAAGTGAGCCTAATGCTGTATCGTGTTATGTTATTTTCATGGCATCCAAATTGTGTTCTATATAATAGTTTTTAAAACTGTTGGTAGAGCGCTTGCCTCACATGCACAAGGTCCTGGGYTCAATCYCCARYACTACAACAAACAAACAAACAAAAAATACTCTCAGGGGCCACAGCATTGCTAAATGATAAAAAGACMAAGATACTTAAGCAAAAATATAATGAACAACATGAGAGCAGAGATGAAGAAAGTAAATCAAATGGATCTCTGGTCTCCTTTCCCCATTAAGGAACTTTGCAGGGTGAAGAGGAGCCCCAGGGGAAGCACGGAATAGCTAGAAAGAGGTTTCCTGTTCCCACCTGACCCCAGATCCCTCCTGGGAGAGAAAGTTAAGCTGGGTCCCCATCAGTGGGCTGGGAGGTCCGGAGACCAGGTGGCAGGTAGCCGCCCCGGGCGTCCAGGCCCGGCGCCCGCTCCCCCTGGCCCAGGCACTCACCACGAGCGCGCAGCACAGCCACTTGTTCATTGTGGTCCCCGGGAAACCTCAGGCGCTGGGAGGCGGCGGCGGCGGTGGCAGCGGCKGGGCCAGCAACGCTAGGTGCTTCTCGGCAGCCACTGCGTTGGTGACGTTTTATATAACGTTCCAGCAACAGGAAGTCTCGCTGGCTTTGATCAGTCATTTCTTTGTCCTGGACCAAACTTTGCACCTTCCCTTTTTAGGAACCTTGGGCGGGAGCGGGCGGTGGGGATTGGGGGGTGGGGTGCGGGGCCGCGAAAAGCTCCCGGGTTAACGCTTTCAGAGCCGGGGCGGAAAGAATCCCCTGAGAGGTGGGGCAGGGGTGGGGGAGGGCGGGGATGTCTGGTCTCTGCAAAGAGGGGAAGGGGGGGCGGGGAGAAAAGCCACCGGGCTGCGGAACAAGGCGGCAGCTGTCTCCGCGGCTGGCCCTGAGGTTTCCCAGCCTCTTCCCGCCAGCGGCCGGCCTCCTGGCAGCCGGGACCAGGGGTGGGAGGGTTGGGCACACGCTGGGTAGCCKCTGTGCCCGTGGCTCCTCCACCCAGAGCGTCCAACTAAGCCAAGATCCGGACGCAGCTGGAGCGTCCCAGACTTTGTCCCCTCTGGGAGAGCTGTGAGTTTCCGCTTTGCCCGGTTGTCTGACCCCTTTTCTGCCAGGTTCAGAGAGCTGGGATAACAAGGCCTCTCATTTATGCGTTCCTGGGAGCACTGTTTGGGAAGTTTGCAACAATTAATCTTCAAGGTTGCATAGAACCTAAGAAGAAGGAACTTCCGTAAGTGATGTCCAAGTCTAAAGCCCGAGCTTTTCACCGTTCACTTCTTGTTGTCTGGGCTACTCAGAGCCASAAAGAATCAGAAGAATGAATTTTATTGCCTAACGCAGGGACAACCTTGCAACCTACTATTTGCATCATCCTTAAAGTGCTATTGGTACCTTAGTATACCATACATTGAACCTCCAGATCAATTCTTCAGGGTCATTCCACTGCCCCAGACTTTAAATAGAAGTTTGGTGCTTTGCATAAAGGGATCTTGTCTTCCTCATCAATCTCACCAGCTGCTTGTCTAGAACCAATCACTTCTTTTGTCTGGAAGTTAGACTTGATCACCACCATCACCACCACTACCACTACTACTACTACTACTACTACTACTACTAGTAATAGTAATAATAATAATAATTCTACCTCCTCCTCCTCTTCTTCTCTTCCTCTCCCTCACCTTCCTCCTTCTCCTTCTCCTCCTCCTTTTTCATTTTTTATGGTACTGGGGATGAAACCCAGGGGTGCTTTACCACTGAGCTACATATCCAGCACCCCCACACACACCTCTTTTGAGACAGGGTCTCACTAAATTGTCCAGGCTGGCCTTAAACTTGTGATCCTCCTACCTCAGCCTCCCTGATAACTAGGATTACAGGCATACACTACCACACACACAGCTTGACTTGATCATTTTTCAACTGAATTTCTATGCCAGGATCCTGTGTGCAGTTCAGGGATCACAGCTTTCAGGTTGTGATCAAACTCTGTTTACTCATGACTGGAAAAGTTCCTGCAGAACTGACTTCCCCATTAGGGCCAAGGGTTTGGTGATATATCCCTGGAGAAAGGCACATTCTACTTTTCACCCGAGTTCAGGGAGAGGAAGGTGAGAAATCAAGAAAGAGGTCTGCTGGAGGGCAAGTTTGTCAACCAGGATCAGAATGCCCACCCCTTCAAATGGACACCATTCCACCACCAGCTCATCCATAGACTAAGCAGAAAATTCTTGGAAAAAAAATTAATTTCAGGAAAAATGAATTTCCACTCTGATTTCTGGGACAAAGGGAGTCACATTCAACTTTGTCTCTCCGAAGATGGCACATACCAACATTGCTAGTTTCTTAAGTGAATTATTGATAAGGTTGGTCAATGAATTAGGAAGTGGAGGACTCCCTAGGAGCCCCTTATATTTTGAACTTCAGTTTTGACAGTTACAACCTAACATACTACACTTAGACTTACATGAAACTCAGGTGCTAATTGGAAAGGCCTATATAAATGGCAGTGCTATTGTTTCTGCTAGAGAAATATTTGTCTAGGATATTATTTGAAGTCACTTTTTTTTTTCTCGAAGCAATAACATGATACCAATATGTGAGATTTAGGCCTTGGAGAAAACTGATGCAAGATTAAGTTTTTTTTAAACCTGGAAAACGTTCATGCCTCTCTAAGCCTCGGTTTCCTTCTTCATAGGGTTAAAAAAACAAAACCCAAACCCAAACAAAACAAACAAACAAACAAACGAAATCTGGTATTTCAGAAGAAGCAAATAGAAACATTTTCAAAAGTATTACAGGATCATAATCACTGTCATGAGCATTAAATAAAAATGATGCATTGAAACTAACTTAGCACAGTGCCCGTAGGAAATATTTACTGAATTCTAGCTGTGATTATTCTAGGGAAATAACTAATACTGGTCTTTAGATTCAGAAACATAGTTTTGAGCTCTAGCCCCACGTCTCCCTAGCTCTGTGACCTCAGCAATTGCCTAACTTAGTTGTTTCCTTTTGATTGCTCTATCTGGGTAAAGACAGTAATAATCACATCTACCCATATTATTAAGGGATTTATGAGGATTACATTAGATAAAACATGTAAAACACTAAAAATAGTGTCTAGCACCTAGTGTTAGTTATTATTTTTATTATTTTTGTCATATGAGGTTCTTGAGATACTTACATGAGCACAAGATGAATCAAAGCCCCTGAGAACAGGAACCCTGAATTTTCCTATGGTATTCACTGAAGATTTTAGCTCAGCTTTAGCTCTTTTCAACTTCAATAAATAATGGAGTGATGTTGGTGGCTTGTAGGGGCCCTGGGAGGACTGATAATTAGCTGAAATCTTGAGACAGATTGGTATACCATTTATCTAGAATCACAAAATAGACTGAGTATTGACTAAGTATCTCAGAACTTGACTATAGGCTGTTCATTAATCACTCCCTGGAAGGAAACTGACAGAGACCATGAGTTATTGGTCATTTAATTTATTATACTCCTGGACCAATCTGGCCAATCCCCCGGGATATTCCCAAGTGATCCACTATTGTGGGTAGTAGGCTCCCAACACTGAAGCTAGAGTTCATCTCAAGATTTAATTGGAAAGACCCTGTGATTCCTGACTGCACCCAATGAGGGGTATTTGAATAGTGACAGAGAGATCCCTTGTAGGCACAGGCCTTCATGACATTAAGCAGGGTCCCATAAATTTAATTTTTTTTTATGGGCACCAAGAATGTGTGGGACTAGCTTTCTAGAAGACACCCCTTATCTTCTCTTCCCTAAACTTCTCTGAATCAAGTTCTTCACTTAAAAMATTCTCATTGCAGGTATTTCTGATTGTCCTTGACAACACACTGTCATCTCCCCCAATCCCCTACTCCGTCCACTCCCAGCTCTAAGATAAATGGTACCTGAACACTGGGAGCTCCCATGGGGAATGTAGTCCATCTCTTCTGCAGAGCAGTTCAGCACCTGGTACAGAAGGTCATTCGTTATCATCAGCATCATGGGAAGGGCTGTAGCTCAGACAGCAATTGATTTAGATGATTTGGGAGACAAGGCTTGCTCTGAGGTGACAAGGACTCTGAGGTGACTGATCAAGTGTCTAAAACATCTTGTGCTTCTGCTTCTTCACTTGAAAAAAACAAAAAGTAAAAGAAAAGAAATACTCATTCTGAGGTTATGCATACAAAAGGATATCAACTTGAAGAGCAAAACTAAATTCCTTGTTATTTCACTGTTATCAAAAGAAGCTTTATTCTGATCCCCTAGAAGGAACAGAGGGAAAGAAAGTATTGTGCAAATAAGTCAATGATCTGATTTTATTAATGTTTGCCAGTTTCTTCATTGACAAATTTAACTGAATTAACCCTCTAAACATTAATATTCTGACTGTAATGGTATTGTAGACTATGTTCAGGGTTGCATGTGTACTTGTTTTATAAAAATCATAGCTAAAAAGGCAAGGCTATCCAGCAAAGGCATTTTTCTGGTGAAGGGAGTCACCAGTTGCTTAAGGATCTGATTGAAAATGTTGAGCCACTGTCAGCAGGCACTAGTTAGGGCTCCCTACCTACTCAAAGGTAAATACTGTGTGATGCATTCAGTAAAGTGACACTTTCTTTCAAAATTAGCCTTTATCAGACAATCCCATAATTTTATGGGATTTTATGGTTTGGATGTAAGGTGTCCCCCAAAAGCTCATTTGTGAAATGAATTGGGTTATGAGAGGTTTAACCCAATCAGTGAATTATTCCCCCATGGGCTTAATTGAGTGGTAACTGAAGGTGGAGAGAGTGTGGCTGGAGGAGGTGGGTCATTGGGAGTCTCTCTCTGCTTTCTGATCATCATCATGTAGGCCACTTCCCTCCATTTCCGCCATAATGTTCTGCCTCACCTCCACCCCAGGGAATGGAGCTGACCTTCTATGGACTGAGACCTCTGAAACCATGAGCCCTCCAAATAAACCTTTCTTCCTCTAAAGTTGTTCTTGTCAGGTCTTTTAGTCACAGTAGCAAAAAAGCTAACTAAAACACATGGAAAGAAAATAAGTTGCCAAAGGAAACCCTGACCCTGTGGATTGAACATCTAACCTCTGAAAAATGAGTGTGTTAACCATTAGTGAGATGCAGAGAAGGAATGGAGCAGCTAGATCTTTTGGTTAGCAGTCCCCAAGATGGGAGGAAGCAAGCTGTGATTTTAAAGAATTAGGAGAGGGCTGGTGTGTCTGGTACATGGAGAGCAAGGGGCTGAATGGGATGGGAAAGGCTAGGGAGCTGAGTGTTCAGGATGCGAAGTGTAATGGAGTCCAGTCTTTCTCCAAAGAACCATATAAAGCCCTAGAGTCTCCTTGTTCTTTATTAGTTTAATTTACTTTTGTTATTTAGGGTGAAAAACTTGATAACATTAGACATTGAAACTCTTCTGGTCAAATCATACCTGTGAGTGCAAAGTGATCAGTAATTCTGGTATATTTTATTCATTTATTTTTAAGCATGGGAGGGTATCTTAGTCAGTTTGGGTTGCTATAACAAAACACCACAAACTGGGTGGCTTAAAAACAACAGAAATGTATTTCTCAGGTTCTAGAAGCTGGAAGTCTGAGACAGGCAGCAACCCTGGTTGGAGTCTGATGAAAGCCTCATTCTGGGATGTACAATTCTGATGTCTATTTGTGTGCTCACATGACAGAAAGAGGGTTATTCAGCTCTCTGTGTCTCTTTTGTAAGGGCACTAATTCCATTGATGAGGGCTCCATCCTTATAACCTAGTAACCTCCAAAGACCCCTCTTCCTAATGCCATCATATTGAGGTTTAGGAATTTTTGTGAGGATATAACTTTCAATCCATTGCAATGTGATGTGACCATTATAACTGATGTGGGGTGTAAT